CGGTGGCAGGTTCATGTAATTTTATCATACGATCAGCATTTTGCTAGACCCGATTTTTATCCCCAGGGTTGTTAGCCCTAGGTGTATGGAAGATGAAATGACGATGATTGTAAGGGGTTGTCCTTAGTACACACATACAGACGTACGCAAACATACCCATGCCCGAGGCGGAACTCGAACCCGTGATCTTCTGGACCGAGACCAATACGGCACTACTGCCTTAGCGATGTCGGCCATCTGATCGGCTCGCGTTTATATCATTATTATTATTATTATTATTCATTATCGTTATCATCGTCGTCATTATTATTAGCTATTACGAGCATGTGCTATTGGTTGACTTTTTAACTTCTATATCCCTTCAAAACAGATTTATTTTATGTTTTGGGATTTTATTTTTGGAGCTCTCTTTACGGTTTGATTCCGGGCCGTTTTTGGTTCATAATCATTTTTCTTTCTTCTAATTCAGAAGGGGTGTGAGGTAGACCGTGAGCACCAAGTGCCACCCACACATCCCTTAGCGAGATATGTCCTTACCCGAATGTTTTGCCCAGATCCGGTTCAATATACTATTGAATAATGTTCATAGTTTTTCGCCTTTTAAAATTGTAATCTAAAAGAAAAAGGACAAGCACGAGGAACATAACTGATCATAACATTCATATTTATATTCGCACTTGATAAAGCATGAATACAATTAAGCTCCTTTCCATTTGCTTGAAACTCTCACGTTCTTAATTTTCGTGTCAGTGGAATTAATTAAAGTTATTTCGTCCATATGAGAATGTGTGAGTCGGAGCGTGCGAACACGAGTTCGAGGTTACGCTCCCACGCGTTTAGCAACTCTTTTTCATCTAGTGCCCCCGCTCTCTCACGCGTGCAATTTTCTGATGGGACGAACTTACTTCTCACGATCACAGCTGAGGCCGAAGCGCAACATACCAAGCGTCGTATCTTTTCGTGTTAGTTCAAAAAATTTGTTATAAAATGTAGAGATCTAAGTTGCATATTTGAGCATATATTTCTCATTATTATAAATAGCAAAACTATTCAAGAGATTCAGCTATTCGAGAAATGCTACAAAATAAATTAAAATTTAATAATATTGTTATATACATTTTTTAATAATTTATTCACTTCGTTTGTTAGCCACGCCTTGAATCGTCATCTTATTCTGACGTGGCAGCAGGTGCCCAACATCCTGAATCACCTGAAGTTGTTCCAGGAAGCAAAGTTAATCACCCATTCACCAGCTTTTCCTGCTGCCTGCAGCCGTCGCTCTACGTTGTGCCTCACTTGCGTATTCCTTGTAATGCAGTTACCATTGTAAATACGTTCTATCTTGTTATATTACAAACAATTTTTAAGTTTTATTACAAATATGTCAGACAATTTTGCGAATTCTGAAGTGTTGGTCACATATATGCAACGTACGAAGCAATGCTTATTTCATCGCAGGCACCATGAGACGCTGTAATTATATATATATATATATATATATATATATATATATATATATATATATAAACCGGAAATGGATAATATTTTACAGGCTATTCTACACTAATAGTAATAAAATGTTTCCCATTGTGAAAGAGTATTAGTTGCTAGCAGAAATACGTACCAACAAATAATACAATTTTTAACTTTTTTAGTACCCTTATTGTCTCTGAGGGCCATTACATCTGAAGACGTTCTCAAGCACTATTATTCTCGTATTGTCAAAACATTCAGCCTTCACGTTGTGGGGATACTGTACGGTAGACTTAGTTGCAGAATCAGTTGTAGTTTATTTTTCTTTCCTCTCTGCCTGTCTAAAGCCATAATCATTTTGTCTTCTTTTCACTTTACGCATCCTGTATTCACTTACGAGTGCCTAGTTCACGAGTCCGGCTGTCAGTCTTAGTCACGTATTCTGGGAAGTTCGCTTTCTCGTGCTCCGTATCTCTCATTCTGAATGTTCTCCCCAGTGCCTCCTTGCACCACTCGCACGTGAAGTACGAAGAGAAGAGGACCAGTGATTCCTTTCGATTTCGCCGAATAATTTTTTGTTGATCAACTCGTCGGCTACGTTTTGCGTAAGTGAATTCCGAAAGAATGATGCAGTGTCGAGCTATTGAAACTGATTTACAATATTTATGAAAGGCATTCTTATTGCAGGATTTTTAATATGAAAGCATTTCAGATGTGTCATCGCGAACCTACTAGGAAATATTAATTAAATGGAATACCGCAGGAACATATACAAACCTTTTTTTCTAGGGTTTTTATTCAGCCCACCGCCGGTTACTCTTTACATCCCGATGGGACGCACATTCGACCATTAGACACCATTGCGGGTTTCTGTGATCATCAGAAGTCGAGGACCTCCACGACACACACACACATACACACAATGAGAAACAAAGGACAAACAACCATGCCCAAGGCGGTATGCGAACCCGCGACCCTTCGGACCGATGCGCTGAGTCGGTACACGCTCTGAACCACCTCGGCCATCCAGTTCGGCGCATGTACAAACTTTTCCACTTATAACAGTTGGCACAACATTCAGAGAAATTCTGTCTGAAGCTTCATCGGTGTCTCAATGGGTGCACCACGATTTCCCGCCCGAGTATCTACATATCCCATTCACCGAAAGTTGACGGAGACCCGTTACTTCCAAAAATTCCCATGACATTTTCAAAATAGTAATTATTGATATTGACCTAAACAAGAAACTACCCTATCTCCATTTTTGAAAAGTTTATTCGATATGTGTATGCTTATTTCTGGAAGTATGGAAGTAATCCATCCCTTTCTTCCAGTTTCAAGTCTTGAGGATCAGTGCCATTTCTTCAGGCCGTCATGTATGCGGTCTCTGAATTCCTTACCCGTCCTCTCAACTCTTTCTGTCGTTCGTTTCCTCGTGAGCATGCGCACTCTGCAAATCCGCCTTCCGAATGATCTACCGCCCACTCGGAAACGTCTGCGCGCACGACTGTCCTTCCGACGATCCACCGGAAAGTGCGTGCACGCCCGACAAATCATCGCGGCCGCGGCCTCCGCCTTCGCCTCCGTGGGCTCCACGGCGCGCGCAGGAGAGAGCGGAGCAGAGCTGAGCGGCTGGGCCGACGGCGCCGCCGCCGCGTCACGCGCCGGGAATTTCCGTGGCGCAACTGCGTTCGCGCGAACCCTGACTCAGTCCACGGCCGCCGCCGCCGCCGCCGCCGCCTCGCAACTGCTTCCGCGAAGGACCGAGCGCGGGACCGCCGCCGTCGGCGTCGGCCCTGAGGCGGCCATCCGCGAGCGGGGCGGAGCGGAGCGGGGCGGAGCGGGGCGGAGCGGGGCGGAGCGGGGCGGAGCGGGGCGGAGCGGTGCAGAGCTATGCTGAGCTATGCTGCGGTGGAGCGTTTAGTCCGACCGCTGCGGCAGTCGCCTACTTTACGTTCTCGCTTCTCTAAAGTAAAGTAGCGGGTTAGAGTAGTCAGTTGTCTCCAAGCAACGGGGTGTAATGACAGAAGACCCGAAATAATAGAGCAGAATTATTTGCGTCGTCGTCGAGACAATTTAGAAAGATTCTCAGATTCACGGGAATGTGGGCGTATGCAAATGTCCACATGTAATGCTAGGAATTGTGCAAGTAATAACTTCTACGTGTTCAAGAAGTTGTAAATTCTGAACTATAAGGTAGAAGTAGGGACTATTGGAATTAAATCTTTTTTGTTTTGTTTTCTTTGTGAGAAATACCATTATTTATCAAAGAAGAGGCAAATGCCGTGAAGTCGTAACTGTGATGCTCTGTCGATTGAAACGTAACTCTAACAACTCTGGTTTTCCTTTTCCTCCCTCAAATCTAATTTCAATAATAATACTCTACCACATACTGTTTTCTAATTAAATCAATAAAACGGACTTTCTTTTTGAAACAAATTTTCAATAAAGGTTTATTCAGTATTATAGAGGGATGTTCTTGGCACAATTCACACTTCCTTAAAAACGTTTGAAGTAATTACTCAATCTTCCTTGACAGTTAGCTTTTCGCTTTCCTTGATAATCACAAAAATATTAGAAAAGGTCTCTACTCTTTAGAAAGATACGTAAAGTTGTCCATACGAAAATACAGGTTCGGGCAAGTACATCCCTAATCTTAATTAAACTGTATTACCGAACAGAGAGCTGCACTCATGCAATTCAATCGCATAGAATATCAAGTAATTGATTTAATTTCACATACAGATGCAGGTTCTGCACGTCCCTGAACAAGTGGGGCAGTATCGAGAACCGCCGAACCAGCAAAAATGGAATAAAATTTCCAAGACGTTTATTCATACTATAGATTGCGGTACAAAGAAAATTTCAAGTTTTAAGGCTATAAACAATTTGTTTAGGAGTTATTTAACAACTAATACTAACGTACCTCAATAAAAGTAATTCCGAGCCAAAAAATAATAAAACACATTTTCACCTGTGATAGTAACATTTGTTATGATTAGAAACAATTCACTAGGGTTAGACTTAACTTGGGTACATCGAAATGTTGCTCAAACGACGTTTACGTATTGAATATCTCAGCAAACCGACACCGAAAGTTTAATATCAAACGGTGTATTGTTTACAATATGAGATTGCAGTTGGGAATTGACGTTCAGACCTCCAGATACCGCCAACATTTAAATCGTTCGACTGGATTGTGATCGTTGGCAGTTGTAGAGTGACTTATGCGATCCTTTAAATGAGTTTAAATTTGGTGACTTTTTAAAATTAATTCTCATAGTATTTTAAGCCACCGCGTTTTGATTTTGTTTATTTATTTCAAGGAACTTAAACTAATTTAAAAATTGTTCTTTGTGTTGTACCGTAGCACAATTTTCCCCCTACTACCTCCGCGTACCTGTGCGGGAACTCTCACGTGATAAATCCCATACTCTTCCCTATCCTTCCATTTCCATTCTAAGTGGGAAAGTTGTTAACGAAACGCATTTATTTATTTAAAATGTATAAAGGTAACTTCCAATGCACTAACACAGTATCGATAAAAAATTTTAAAAAATGCATTTGATGTTTAAAAGAAATTTTTAATAAGAAGTTGTTCTGTAATATAGAGAGATTTCGTGTAACAATTCACAACATTTCCTTAAAAACACCATGTAAAGTAATTATACAATATTCTCTGACAAAGATGGCCACCATGGGCTGAAATGTAGTATTGGTAGTGCCGAAAAGCGCCGAACCGGCAAAAAATTAATAGAATATCTCATCCTGCAGATTACGCAGTAAATCACGTTTCTTTCAGGCCCTTGGCTTCAAAATTCTAGTTATTAAAGTCCTCATTTAGCTCATAAAGGCTTCATTTAGGAGTTATTTAACGATATAGATGCTGACGGGAGTTCATAAATGCTGACGGGAGTGTTGCGAGTTGCATTTGGCATGAATATTTAGATGCGTTTTTTATACAAATCCTTCTCATGTTCAAAGTAAAAGTGCAATTCGTCAAGTCTCCGTGAATTTTTTTTCTTAGAGACCTCATTTATAAAATATAGGTGTTGTGGTTCGTTATCGTTGGCCTTTTTCATGAAATAATTATAAACGTTGTCATTGCCAA